GAAAAGAAAACAATGTGGAAAGTATCACCCAAATGCAAGTACTAATTGTGTTCCTTGGAAGTTAAGTCATGGGTGCATCACCTGCTCACCTGTAATATGGAGTAATAATGCCACCTCCCAAGCTTGTTGGGAGCTCAACATAAGCATCCTGGAAATAAAAGGGCCTTTTATATTTCTAGTGTTGAAAAAATGTGAGTGGTCATCATTCTAAGAAACAATGAATGGGAGCTAGGAGACACAAGGCCTGAATCCTGGCTCTGCCACTCAATGGCCATGTGACCTTCACAAATGATTTCACCCCTGGGAGGTTCATTTTCCTCACGTCACTCAAGAAACAATTCACAAAACCTCTATCGTTTGGAAGGTAATGTGAATTATTCTATAAGTTTTAGTCAAACATAAAAGATAAACATTATATTGTCGACTAATTAACACTGGTTAATTATATGAATTATACAAGCTCATCGCTTCAATGTGGCTATTTTCTGTTACGACCTACATTTCTAGGTTCTATTATTCTCTGAAATTTTAACCTTCCATTCCAACTTATATTTTCCCAGATTTGAAATATTAAATATTTTTAATTTCTACTTTACCATTTTAGCCATATCAATATAGCCATATTGAGTAAGCTACTGCAAACACTTTGTAGGATGAAATGTGATAATGATATATCAACAAATAAGAGCAGAGAAAAATGTTCCCAGATCAAAGTTCACTGATTTTGCCTAAATAAATCCGATGTCATTCTCTGATTACCCAGTCTCAAACCTATCCTAATGTGAGGATTAAAACAGAGATGCTTGCTTTTGCAAGATTAGATGATGCTAATAAACAAAACAAAACAAACAAAAACATATAAAAAACAAACCAAAAAAAAAAACCACTGGCAGTTTTCATGATACCCAGTTTTGAAGATGGGGCAGGGGGAGTAAATTCGATGTCATTCTCTGATTACTGGGTCTAATCCTAATGTGAGGATTAAAACAGTTAGAAAGATAATGCTAAAAAACAAACAAAACAAAACAAAAACATCAGTTTTCATGATAACTAGTTTTGAAGATGGGGTGGGAAATGTTGAAATCAAAGAGTGCTAGCTCAGAATACTATGGAAACCACTAGTAACTCCCACCAGGAAAAGGAGGGGGAGAAAAGGGCAAAGAGAAGGGCATGACCGGCCGAAGGCAGCTGGTTGTAGAGAACACCCATGAGGCATCAGTGTCTCACAGTTGCTAACACATTTAAATGCTCGCATGCCTGTAAGAAAGACAGCACTGTCCCTTCTTCACAACGTAGCGCGTCCACGTGACTGTGGAATTCAGGCCCAAGTTGCTCTGACCAAATTGGCACCATCTTTTCACTCCACCGTGCAGGCCCTCTTCGTACCCTTTCTCACTTCACTGAGTATTAGCACTGACTCTGGCAGCACCCTCTGCTGCTGACCTATGATGCCCCTGAAATGCAGGTAAGCCCATGCGGGCACAATATACCCACCCCACCCCACCTCTTTCTCACTCCCTTCCCTTTTAACTCCTGGTCCACTGCTGCTCCATAGTGGCCACGTAAAGGACAGAACAGGCTTAAAAATCAGCCAAGGGGCACCTTCGGCTCAGGTCATGATCTCATGGTTCCCAAGTTCGAGCACAGCATCAGGCTCTCTGCTGTCAGCACAGAGCCTGCTTCAGATCCCCTGTCCCACTCTCTTTCTGCCCCTCATGCACTTGCTCTCTCCCTCTCTCTCCCTCTGTATTCAAAGTAAATATTTTAAAAAATGTTTTTAAATAATCAGTCGGCATCTCAGTGTATGCTCTGTCCAGAATGAGGACAGAGAGTTCCCAGTTATGCTTAAGAGGAATCGTCTTCCATTTTAGAAGCTTGTATTATGTAAGACAACCTGGATTGGAGTAAGGAAAGAGCCCAAAACTTTGTCGTAAAGATATGAGTTGAAGTCCGGGCTCTGTAGCAGCCACTGTGCAATGAATGGTACTTCCTATGATGATGGAAATGTTCTACAGCTGCACTGTCCAATATGGTAGCCACCAACCACATGTGGCAATAGAGCACCTGAAATGTGGCGAGTGAAACTAAATGACTCAGTGTTTAATTTTATTCAGAATTAACTAATTTACATTTAAATGGCCATATGTGGCTGGTGGTTACTCACTTGGATACTACAGCTCTCTTGCTGCCTAGCTGTGGGATGTTAAGCAAGTCATTTTTCTCATCCTGAGCTCTCTCATCCATTCACGACTCTGGTACCTCACAGTTTTGCTGGATGGACAAAGGGAGAAAAGAGCCATTTGAAGGCCTAGTACAAAACCATACACTTAACAAGTAAGTATTCAAGAGGCTTTGGCTGGATCTGAAAACATGAATCTCGTAACAGTCCAAGAGAAATGCATGCTAAAAGTCTAAGCCTGGATGTTTCTCCAGAATTAATTCCTTATGATTGTTTTATTCATCCAAACCTCATTTGCCTGCCAAAAATGACCTCTGAGAAAACGAGGGCTGAAGACAGCCACACCACTTACAGGACTGCGGGTACAATGCCTACCCCTTCCTGCCTTGCTTCCTTCCCCGGGAGTTCGGAAATGTCATTTTCTCCAGGTGGTAACGGTGGGAGCAGCAGAAAGCCAGGCAGAGTGCTACATACATCTGATGGAGCCAAACATCTTCAAGAGTTTTGCCAAAAGCTTCTCTCCTTCTCCCCCACTTCTCAAACACGTTGTTTTCAGGAAAATTTGCCCATCTGGTTCTGATTCATTTGCTCTTAACTCATCAGAGGGCGGTGTTGTAATACCAGATTGACTTGCAAAAAGTTCCAATTCACATATCTCCCCAGCTTCTATCCTTAGAAACTGGGGAACGGGTTTGGCCAGCAGATGCATAAGGCACATAAAGGTGGGGTGTAGGGCATGAGATGGCAGGTCCAGCTCTGTCATAAACACCCTGTGTACCCTGAGCTGTCCCTCATTTCCAAGGTCTGGACCTGCTCTCCTAGGAAATGAGGGTTTCACCTGAGTGGCAACTCAAATCCATATAAGATGACTAACAATAGCTCTTTAATATGGAAAAGCTCATAGTCGTCACATAGAACTCACACAAAATTGGGCAGTTTGATGAAGTAAATCTATAATATGTTTTGTGGTGATCAAAAAATAAGAAAGAAAGAAAGAAAGAAAGAAAAAGAAAGAAAGAAAGAAAGAAAGAAAGAAAGAAAGAAAGAAAGAAAGAAAGAAGGGAAGGAAGGAAGGAAGGAAGGAAGGAAGGAAGGAAGGAAGGAAGGAAGGAAGAAAGGAAAGGAAAGGGAAAGAAATGGAAAGGAAAGGAAAGGAAAGGAAAGGAAAGGAAAGGAAAGGAAAGGAAAGGAAAGGAAAGGAAAGGAAAGGAAAGGAAAGGAAAGGAAATGTGGTCACTAGAAGTTTGTATGAGTTCAGGAAATCAAATAATTCTAGATTAGCCTTGTTCTTTAGTTGGTAAAATCATAAGGTTTTGTGATTCAAATATCAAATATCAGACCAGGCCTGATATTTGAATAAATCTACTGAACAAGGTCTTCAGGGATGTTCTGATGGATAAAAGACAGCAATGAGGACTGGGTGGTAGTATGGTTTGAATGGCAAATTCAGGTCTTACATGTAGGGCAGTCTAAAACCAGAAACCTGCTCTCTTTACACTCAGCTATGTCTTCCAGCAATGGTTACACAACCTCCTAGGATTAGTACTCAATTTAACACTGAGATGCTACGAGGTGGACTATTTCATGGAACAGGGGTTGCGTTGGTGACCATATGGTGGGTCTTCAGACCAACCCCTAAAACTGTATGAAATGAACTGCAGAATTCCTTAACTAGCTATCTCAGCCAGAGTTCTTAGGATTCCATTCTTCTCGAGTCCTGAGGAGTTCCCTACAAAACTCAAGGACTCCCCAGAGAACCACCGTTGAGATGGTTTCATCAAAGTCTATGGTTTCAATAGCCTCCTCCAGAATCACAACTCCCAAATTATATTCTGAGACCATATTTTCTTCTGACTTCTTGTCTCATATATACAACTGCCTCCTTAATATCTTGACTTAGAGGTCTTACAGGAATCTCAAACTAATTATGTCCAAAATAAAACGTCTTCTTCTCCCACCTAATGCCCTCTATGTCAGTAAAGAGCAATGCCATGAACAGAATGAATCAAGAGATATTAGCTTGACAGACACCAAATTCAGCCACTGTAAGTCTCTCAACTTTTTGTTGAACTTCATGAACAGTGAAGGCTTGAATATTCTGAGTTAAATGAAACCTAGATCTATCTTCATATAACTCTCACTCACTGAATTAAGACATTATCTTCTGTGGATGTAGGCTTGTTGATTCAAGTCCCTCCTAGAACAGGTATTCCATTAGACTGTGAGGTCTGGAGAACAGAAGGAGCACATTCTGACTGTTCTAGGCTCTTAGCACAAAGCAGGTGCAAAACAAAGTGAAAAAGACTGTTCTCAACACCTTCCTGTGATTTCTTGGTACCTTCATGGTAGCAATATCACATAAGCTATAATTATGTCTCTTTTTCTCCTTCACTAGACTGTAAACCATCTTACTGGCTCATCTCTGCTATCTTGGCACGAAGCTCATAGCCTGACACTTAGAACATGTTGAGAGAGTATATAACGGATAAAGAAATGACTAAATTCATTAGTGAATGAAGAATAGAGAAATAAAGGAACTAATAAGGACTTCAGTCCCCCGGCCAGCCCTGGCAAGCCGTGAACATGCTACTTCCAGCCCAGACCTCCTCACACATACTCCCTTTCCCCAACCTTACAGCCCAGGCTGAATGTGGGAAGAAAGCCTCCGGAAGAGCTTAACGTTCAGTGGAAATTTCTCACCAACAGTCAATACCCAGTCTGACTTCCAAGATTATCTCTCTCTCTCTCTTCTCTCTCCCCCTCTCTTTCTTTAAAATCACTCGCAGTGTCTTTTCCTCCCTCCAGCTTACCCATTACTTACAATAATGACTTCAAACACCAAGCACTGCTATTCAGGGCACTGTGAAAATGTGTTTTTCCCATCAGTCTGATGAAATAGTTTCCACTGTCTGTTTCCCTTGCAGATAGCAATCAAAGTCCGGGAGCGACAATTAAAAAAAAAAAAAAAAAAGTCCAAACGCTTGTCCGATATAGCATCTAAAACTTGTCCTTGGAAGGCGACACCCAAGGGAATTTAATCAGAAATGCTCTTCACTTGGCCCAACCCACTGCTGTTGAATACAGAGTATCTGGAATGATTTGTTTCTGGGAGCAGATTTCCCTATACTTCCCCCCTATTCTTCCCAGAAGACCAAAATAAGAGCCCTTTGAAGAACGCTATTCCCTTAAGACCTGCACTGGGATCTCCAGAGTCTAATGCTAGTGCATGAATTCTCACTCTCACCTTTTTACTACAGCCTCTGGTGACAGCCTCCAAAGATCAGAGTGCACCATTCCCTGAGCTCTGCACTCCCTCACTTTGTTTGCCTTTGCATTGCCAGGTCAATACCTATGACTTACCGTCTGACCAAGTCAATACCTACCATACCTGGCCCTATAACTTACTAGTTATATGAGCTTGGACAACCATCCTACCTCCTAGCCTCAGTATTCCCACTGACAAAACAGGACTACCCACCTGGGTCTCACAGGCTAGTTGTGAAGTTAAATGAGGTCAGACAGCAGACGCTACCTGGGAATTGGTCCTGAACTTGTTGGAGAACCACAGATTCACCTTCCCTTTGTCAATCTCGCCCTTCTCTGAACTTTTGTAGCACTAGTGCCATGTGAATATAGAATTCTCAGGCAGAATGATCCTCTGAAAGTTTCCATTTCAAATGCTGAGTGTACACACACACACACACACACACACACACACACACGCACCACATGCATACACCATACTACACATAACACCACACTACACCCCTCCCCCCCCCCACACAACATAAGCTGGGCATTTGGACATTTGCCCTTTCGAATTCCAAGGATGCTCTGTCTCCACCGACCTTTTCTTCTTTTGTGATTTGGCCTTCTTCACTAGGAAACAGCCCTGGTGCTCAGTCCAAAGAGGTTATGAGGAAACACTATGGGAAACATAAAGAAAAAGGATGTGCTGCTTTTCTAAAAACTTGTGTTCTTTGGTGAGTTTAGACCCTATTTCTCATGTCCATTGGTGACAGGCATTTATATGTAACTGACTGGTCACATACATGCAGAATATTTACCCTCGATTAGGCACGATACCAGTGGATTACACACAGGATGCACTTGACCCTTACAATATACCTACACAACAGCAATCAAGTTGCAGGGGGAGCAGTCATGCCCAGACGCTCACACCTGCTGATGGTCCATCTAACACTGGGGCTCCCCACTCTAGTTCTGCTTGCTAGCAATTGGAAAAGCAATTGTACCTTAAGTTGGGATGACCAATGATTGACTGGCCAAAGCATACTCTACATGTCAGTCTTACTATATTCCATTCATAATTGATCCCAAAAAAAGTAACAGGTGGGCCTCCAGGGATCAGAGGACCATGGATGTTTTTGTCATTTCATCATGCTACAAAAATGCCTACTATTTGTGATGCTAATGATTGCCATCTCCCAGAAGCCTACAGTCATTCCAGAGCCCATGTGATGCCTGGAGCTCTGATTGCAGACTGGAACCAGTAAACATCTTTTTGTTCCTTAAAATGCAAAACAATTCATGTACAGACCAAGCCAGCTGTTCTCTGCCAGACTATCAATGGCCATTGGGTTGACAGAAAGCTGTGGGCTTTTGCTGGCAAAGGGGTGGCACTAACAATCCACCCATGTTATCACACACTACTAGGGTTAAGAGACGGCCATCAAAGCCCTGGGGATTTATGGAGGTGCTGGTTTCCATTAAGCCAGGTAACTAGAATAGCGGTAACATGCAGGGGGAGGGCTGTCTCCTTTGGGACAATTTAACCATGCAGATAATATTTTAAAAAATTGCTCATACCCTTTAAGTAACACATACAGAACCCAAGTATCCATATATACGTGGAACTCCTGAAGTCCCAAAGCAGTGTAAAACTTTGAATGGATTGGCTCCTGGTAGGGTCAGCATTTTCTCTTCCTTATTCCATCTCAGTGCTGGGTCAGATGCCCTATGACCAGCTTCCTCCCTTTCATTCACATGGTTTCCAAAGTGCTTTCATGTTCATTATTTTGTCAGTCATTCACAATGACTGTGGTGTTATCATTCGTTGTTTCCCAGATGTGGAAACCAGGGGTTAGATAGGGTAAGTGACTTGCCAAATATCCTATGGCCTATGATGGCAGAGAGAAAACCACAAGACCGTTTGGCCTCCAGTCAGGCCAGATTTCTATCTGCAGCTTCAGACCAGTTAGACATTTTGGGTGAAGACCTAGACTCTCTGCTCTAGGTACCTGGAAGAAGCAATATCCCTTTTAGACCTTGGTAGACACCATGTCTTGCCACATGCCGATCCCAACTGGTCTTTGACTCCAATTCGTCTTAAGTCTCAGCTCAAGGTGCCCTTCTCTGACACGCTTATCTAAGGGGTTCCACTGTTATGTGTCCCCAAGGCATCTTGTTCTTCCTATTGAGTAGTACTTACCATAATTATAATAAACTCAATTGTTATTATCCTTGCTAAGCTGAAGTTCATGAAGCAAGGACCAATTCAGCTAGTCTAATTCCTAATACCTACCAGGCACTCAATACATGTATAGAATGAGAGAACAAACCATTCCCTCTCATGTAGAAGCCTACAGGCCCACAGAATGTCAACTCATCAATCAGAAGAAGACTGACCAGAGGTAGCCAGAGAGCGAGTACAAAAACATGTCCAAAAGATCAGCAGCCGGTCAACTTATGTAAGCTACTTATTGGCAGATCTACACTAGGGCTGGGAACCAGAAATAGGACCAGAGGCAAGGAGAGGGGTTTGTTTCCAGCAGGGCGAGCCACTCAAAGCTCCCCTTTAGGGCCAGAGGACCAGCATCCCAAAAACAGGGCCAGGGAAACAAAGTTCACAGCTTTCTTGAAAGCTGTTTCATTAAAACAGGTGGCTCTGTATATTGACAGATGCTTTCCTTTTTTTTTTTCTTGTATGCCCAATCATCTCATATAGTACGTGATAAGGAACTACAGATAGATGCACTAGTGGAATATTAAGGCAGGAGATATATTTAAAAAAGATTATCCTGGGGCACCTGGGTGGTTCAATTGGTTAAGCGTCTGGCTTCGACTCACGTTGTGATCTCACGGTTCACGAGTTCGAGCCCTCTGCTGTCAGCACAGAGCCTGCTTAGGATGCTGTCTTTCTCTGCCCTTCACCTGCTCCCACGCTCTCTCAAAAATAGATAAACATTAAAAAAAATAAAAAAAAGGTGATCCTGATAGAGAAAAGCCATGCAAGAATCAGCAAGGCCACCTAAAATGCTAATAAACAAGAGAGAAGGAATTAAAGCCTAAATTATAAGTGAACATCCAAACAGAAGGAACAAAATTGAAAGGTATTAGGAAGATATACTCTGTTGAGCTTGGTGACTGATAGGATGTATAATAGTATCCCCTTTCAACTTACTTCCTGTTTACCAAGTACTTTCATGTGCTTTATCTCATTTGAGACTCCTAAGAAGCCTATGTGTTAGATGGATAAGGAAACAGGCCTGACAAGTGACGTGCCCAAGTCACACAGCTCAGAGGGGCTGGGCTATGCCTGGAGACCAAGTGTCCAGACCGCCATCTCTGGACCTCCCAGGGAGCATTGGGCCATTGTGTAACCCAGAGTTTTGGTCAGAGGAATGTGCTCACCTCATTCCTCCAGGATCAAGCAGTCTTTGATCTTGTTCGTCTATTCATGTTTATGGAAATGGACTTTATAGCTGTGCGTTTCCCAGAAGAGGGGTATGAGGATTCCCATCAGCGCTGGAAGTCGCTGACGCCCTGAAGACCCACTCTACTCCCTATGAGTCAGACCTGTTTTTCATCTTTACTGTTAGTCCTGATTACTAAAGAAATTCCAGGGTTCTTGTAAAATATCCCAATAAGAAAATTTAGAAAGATAAAATTCTATATACTCTGCTATAACCGAACTTTGATTTGATAACATAATACCAAACACTAACATTTATGGAGCCTCAATTGATTGCCAGGCACTGGGTGAGGCACTTATATATACAGCATCTCACTTAGCCCTCACTGCAGCCTCAGACAAGCACTGTTACTACTTCTCTTTTACAGATGAGGAAACTGAGGCTCCCAGAGAGTAACTTGCCCAGGGTCACAGAGCTGGTGAGTAACCGAGACAGAATTCTGGGCAGGTCCTAGGATTCCAAAGCCCACACACCTACCTATGACTGTATATTAGGGATATCTTTCTAAGTCATACATATTCAATTATATCTGTTTATTGGGGGGGAAAAGGCTATTGCCTTCTTCTATTCCCCAAAATGTTTCTTAAGTTAACTAGAGTAAGAGGGCCAATCCATAATTCATCTTAAAAAAAAAATCAAATTCTTCAAGTAAACTTAAGCAAGTTCTTTCTTCTCTACTTGCTGAGTCAGATATCTTCATAAGTTATGTCCTCTTGTCTGTGATGGACAAAGCTTGGATGTTGGGTTAGGTCCTGGCTATACTATTCCCTCACTGGGTGATTTGGGGCAAGTATCCTCTCTGTCTGAATTTCATCTTTATAGATGAGACATTTGGGCAACCCCCGAAGGCCCTTCCAGCAGTGACCTACTGTAACCTGTTGTCTCTCATGACTTCCCAGAATGTGGATGGGCAATGTTCGGTTGTAGCAGAGTATATAGAATTTTATCTTTTTAAATTTTCTTATTTGGATATTTTACAAGAACCCTGGAATTTCTTTAGTAATCAGGACTAACAATAAATGTCATTTATTTATTTATTATCATTTTACTGGTTTTTTAAAAATTTATTTCTGAGAGAGAGAGAGAGAGAGAGAGAGAGAGAGAGAGAGACAGTGTGGGCAGGAGAGGGTCAGAAAGAGAAGGACACACAGAAT